TGTATACTCCTTCCATCTTCTTTTAAATGCTTCCTGGATCATTTAACATTCTACCTAAAGCATATGTTGAATACAAACATTCTTCAGAGGCTGGGATATGGACTTACACTGAGAGGGTATACACAACGTGTTCAACCCACAGTCAGCTCTCCACATTCTTCACCTCCAGATATCCGAAAGAATTATTTGAAATAGTGTCCATAAAGAAGTAGCCTGTCCTGACGAGGGGGGTGCTGGGGAGGACAGGCCAAAGAGGATGATGTGGGATGCAGATGGACATGGTCTTCTTTCTTTCTAGAAATGCAGTTGCCTTTCTCTGTCCTGAGCTAGGCTTGTGTGGTCAAAAGTCAGCTTTGGCAAACTGAGTTTTCATCTCAGTAGTCTGAGAACTGGTTTCCAGCATTCACCTTTTGCAGTGAAACAGACCTCTATGAAAGAGCACCACCGTTCACTCAGACTCTAGCCTCCCCTCTGTAGCCATCAAGGACAAACATGATTATGCTGTATCCTCAAAGCAGATTATCCTCATGTAAGACTTCTATTCTGGAAATGTTCAAAGACAAAAGGGAAGGGGAACAACAACAGACAAAGAGGGGCAACGGGGAAGCCCAACAGACATATAAGGGGGAAGAGAAGAACATATAACCTGGGGGGAGGAGAAGAACAACACACAATGAGGGCAGAGGGGAAGAACAACAGACAATGAAGGGGAAGGCGAGAACACCACCAAGACTGAGGCAGGGGAGGGGGGAAAGAGGTGGGAAGGAGCACACAATTTGTCGTGATTCTCTCCCCTTCTTGCTGGGATTGTCAAAGGAATTGCCTTGTGACCTTCTTGTCTCTGAAGAGACCACTTTCTTCTATATAAACGCACATTAGAGAACGGACACAGCCTGATGGTTTCCCATGATTAAACAGCAATCTAAATAGGAGCCCTATGAGTTGGTGTAGAGCTGGTGAGTTTGGACTCCGAGACCTGTATTTATTTCCGCTCAGCAATGTGCAACTGTGAGATTCTGGCAAATCACTCACTAATCTGAGTTTCATTTTTCTCAAGTGTAAAATAAGAAATAACAGCTTTTCTTGAAGAATGGTCATAATGACCTAAGATACACAGACAAAGCACTCACACAGTTCCTACGCCTCAGGTCGTCAGAGTATACAATAAACAGGTACAAAGGCCCTGATCCTACTGCCTGGACAAAACAAGGCCTTTTTCCCCTTCTTTCTTTACATTCTCAATGGAACCACAAGCCCTTGTATCTTGGGTCTCATCCTGTGAGTTTGTACAACAGACAATGCAGAACTGTCCATTCCATTTGGACAAAGTAACCAGAAAAACAGGATCTTACAATACACTGCTGAATTTATTAAAAACATACAGCTGAGCAGGTGACCTGATAACTTCACAGTATGAGCTTTGGTCCAGCCCAGGAGGGGAAAAAGAACTCCTTGTCTCAATGTTGTTGTTGTTGTTATGTGCCTTTGAGTTGCTTGCAACTCATAGCGACCCTATGTACAACAGCCCTGAAACCTACTCTATCCTGTGTCAACTATACTATCTCTGACACACCTGTTCTCATTACCATAGTCACTGAATTAATCCATCTCATTGATGGTCTCCCTCTCTTTCTCCACCCTTCCAAGCATGACGTCCCTCAACCAAGGACCAGTCCCTCCTTGCAACATGCCCAAAGTATTTCAGACAAAGCTTCAGAATCCTTGCCTCCAAGGAGCAGACTGTCTCAGTGAGTGAAAATAAAAAGGGAGTATTATTGATTAATGGTTTTCTTCACATTAGATGCCAAGAGAGATGTAAGAATTTCTCTCAACTTAGCAAAGGGACTAAAGAATGAGCAAACTGGGTGATGGGGATGCCAAGTCCATCTTACCAATCACAGTTACAAATACAACTAAAGATCCACAAAACAAGGACGAGCTCATCTCCACACAAATCCTGGGTCCACTGGAGGTGTTGCCTGGGATACAGCCGGTCGCCACAGTTTCCCATAGTCCACAAACTTACCTCTGAAAGAGACAATTGCTCTCCCTACTTCTCAGCTGCCCCCTTGGGGTAGACCATCTCCCAAGACACTCAACTTCTAGTCCACTTGCACCAGACCAAACACACAGCCGTGAGGTTGTTTTGAATTCACAGCAACCTGACAGAGTGGAGCAGAACTGCTCCGTCAGGCTTCAAATGCCCCAGTTTTCCTGGATTACTGGTGGGTGTGAAACCCTGAACTTTCCGTCTGCAGTCCATCACCTCAGCTACTATCCCACCAGGGATCCTTTTAACTAACTGAACTGGTGATGGGAATCATAGCGTAAAGCTCTGGGTTCTTGATGTCAACTGGAATTTAAAACTGCAATCAGTTAAAAACAGAAGGCTGATTTAAACCTATTTGAAATGTACAGTTTAACAGCTTCCCTTGGCACTGAGGCCAAGCTCCAACTCAAATAACCTCTGCATCCATCAAGACTGAGAACTGAAGGCTGGGGAGGGGGCTAAGTAGTGACCTCTCTTTCCGTCTGACAGAACTAAAAACCAATGTGATGAAAAGTCACTGGAAATTTCTATTGCCTATTCTAAGTATTTACTTAAACTTCAAACCCAGCAATTAAGATTTAACATGTAACCAAAAGAAGAAAGCACTTGGTTGGGTCAGAGAGTGAAAAAGGGGGGTGGGCAGCAGGGACAGTGCTGCCTACATTAATATTCCCAGCAGCAGACATGTTAACCACAGTATTTATTTTAGTAAATGCAGAGAAAGTGAAAAACATCACTTTTGCCTCTACTATTTCAAAGCTTTGGACTTGCTTCTTTTTCATATATGTTACTAATGTTGTACATGAAAAATCAGATGCATCTGCTGGCCTGAGGACCCGAGCTGACAGCCCCATTTACCAACTGAACAAACACCCACAGTAGATTAAACACGGTTCATATTCTCCCCAAACAGCCACAGCACCAGGGCCAGGGCCCCAGCCCCAAAACCGCCGTTAGAAAAGGAGCTGGGCTAGTCCTAAACGTGTCAAAATGAGAGCTCATCACTTGAGGGCTCGCTTTCCTCCCCAGGGCCAAAATATTTCAAAAATAAACTAAACTCTAGGTCATAAAATTAACCACTACATTTGAGTTGGGTCTACCAAAAATTAAAACTCAACACCAATGCTCCGTGGAAAGCCCAGCCTGGCGCTATGGCTTTTCATTAGACCTGTGTGGGGCCGAGAAGGCGCACAAAGATGGGTTCCTCCTCACAGCTTGGAATGAAGGACACCTGCCCAAAAGGAGGAACTGAATTTCCCAACAAAGAGTTTGCCTTGAGCCCAGAATGGCTAAACAAGGTTTAGGAAGTGAAGCCTCTCCTGCGTTTAGCACTGGAATTTGTGACTGCCAGCCGAGCAGGACAACAGGAGGGCCTCCCTGACAATGGGTGGCCTCGGAGTGGTCATGCACACAGCATGACTTACTAGGCTGTTCTGGAAACGACAATGGGTGCACTGCCTGCCTTAAAAGCACCGTGTAGTTCATAAATGCAGGGACTAAAGCACCACTGTACTAAACCACTCACTTTACCCTGTGGTTCGTGGTTCAGGGTCCGTAATAGGAATCCAGCTCACCCGAGGCCCCGTCTGATTTCCCTCCATGCACATTTGTACTGTCTCTACTTTGTCCTCTTGTCACCCTCTTCCCTCTTCCTTCTTAGAGGGCACCAAGGCCTTCATTATTTTTCCTTCTACCTCTTTCCTTCTCTTTTATTCAAATTAAACAACCAGAAAACTTGCATTTTTATAGTGTTAAGGGAGAAAAAATATACCTTCACACATGCAAAAAGATTTTTTTTTAAGCAGTTGTACTTCAGGGAACAATATAGGAGTTTCATCTAAAATAGCTATTTGTTTACTCAAACTGTGACTCCCTAACTTAAAAAAAAAACAACCCAAAGTTTATGATACTCTCAGAGAACAAAATCCCACTAAGAAAAAAAAAATTTAAAAAATCTCACTATGAAATAAAGAATTTCCCTGGAGGCAAATTTTGATGTGCTTAAACACAACCAAAAATAGAGTCTTCTTTCTTGTAGCCTCGATTCTTTCTAGGTCTTCTACTGGTAGTCTCCTAGGCTGAGTATGACCAATTAACAGGGAACAGCCATGGAAAGTGCAGATACTACTGTGGGGCAATAAACAAGGCCTTATCAGTGACAATGGTGCACATTACCAACTTCAAACCCATTCCTCCCTCTAATCCATCAGAAACTTCCTGGCTTTAATAGGCTATAAATGGCAGAAGCTTTGAAGTCTCCGGGATTAGGATCAGTAATAGACAGGCTCAATAAGAGGCTAAATGTAGGTGGAACATACTCTATGTGCCCTGAATTAAAAACAAATCCACTTAATCAAACAGTCTTCAACCTGGGCTGCCAGTCAGTAGATCACAAGCGATAGCCGATGGCCGAGGCAAGGAACGAAGTGATTAAGAAAGGACTGACCCATGGGAGAGTCTGGTGAGCACTCATTTAAGGAACCAACCCCAGGTCTGCGAGGGCATGTGCTTTGGACTTTCCCAATCAGATGGAAGGCATCCCACGTTTTGAAGGAGAGGACAGTATCAGAGAAGAGATAAGGCAGGAGAAAATGAATGCCTTTAAACTGAGTTCTGTGTAAACAAATCAGCTGAGATGGCTGAGGGAAGCTGAGATCTGTTTTCCCAAAGCTCGAGGACCTTTGATCTTGGGATTCCTAAGCCCCTAAACACTTGTGGCTACAGACCATGCTGTGGGCTTGGAGTTAAATGGGCCACCCTAGAACATGAAAGAAATAACCAGAAAACTGGGCTCACGCTGCCTCAACTGGCCCTGTTCTGAAACAGCAGGGATACTCACTGGAAACAAAGGCTGCAGATCAATTTGGCCACCCCAAATCAATCCAGTTGAGGGGTGCACTGGAGCCTAGGCCAGGCCCCTTCTGCAGAATCATTTCCTCACACCGCTTACCTTCGGGAGGGTTTTTATTCTGATTATTCCAGACAACTAGCAGCTTGGAAAGGCTGGGCACCTTGGATACTTCAGTGATAACCCGGAAGAGGCTCTCCACACGGTCATAGGTGAGGACAATGGCAGTGAAACCCTGGGATTGTGGTGGGATCAGTGGAAGGAAGAGTGGGTTGCTCACGCTGCTCCATTTCTGCAATAAAGAAAAGGGATCTGGATGAGAGAATAATCTAGTAATAATGCGGCAGCTCTCTTTCCCAAAATCATTATGAATTCAAACATGAAAGATCAGGTGGCCTAAATCCAAGACTTAAGGAACTATTTAAAGTCTTCAAAAGTCTGGATGGACCCCTTTTAATTAAGTTTGGTTCTAACATCACTGAAAAAGGAGGATGGCCTTTGATATATTTTTTAAATGTAACATTTAAACATGGCAGATGCAACACACACATTTATCTCCACTTCTTCCCGAAGCCCATCACAATGGCAGTTAATAAAGATAAAAAGAACATAAATCTACAATGACAAAGACACGAGAGATGAGGCAACGGCTGATGGGCAGCACTAACGTACTTGGGAAAGACGGAAAGGGCCTGCAGACGAGATAACAGATTGGAAGAGCTAAGTAGCTACAGAGAGTGGAGCCAACAAAAGTCAACAAGTTCAAACGGTCAGAGCCCATGAAATCTCTGGAATGAAACTCGCTGGGCACCTTACGAGATAAAAGCCCTGACAGAAACATGTAGAAGGAGCAGTTAGAGATCCACAACCATAAACTCTCCCTTTATCTGCCTCCCTCCGCAGGGAAGTGGCGCTCACGGCTCTTCTTCCCTCACCCCGCCAGAGGGAGGTTTACTCTCTAAAGAAGCTGAAGCCCCAGACGTGGAAACGCTGGCAAAGCTGAGGGGAAAATGGAGATTACAATCTATACTCTGCAGGATGAGCCCTGCGGCCTTCTTCCCCTTTCAGTCCCCAAAATGTTGGCAGCCTGTGGAGAGCTTGCTGCCCATGGTTGGAAAGTGAGGCCCTTGGGGCACCGAGCTCTGCCCTCACACAAAGAACTTCCACTCCGCTTCTGAGGGCCTCCCTCCTAACCATGAACAGACCCAGGAGTCACGGGCATTTCATGAGCATCTTCAGCGTGAACAAAAGAAACCAAAGTGAACAAATCAAAAAAAGGAATGCAGGAGAACCAGACACAATAGAGAAATAGAGATGCAGAGGAAAATGAAAGCAGCGGCAACAAACTGTATCCTCAGAACAATGAGTTTTCATTTATGAAATAAGTTGCTATTTTAAACCATCTAACAATGGTCAGCAATAACTTTTGGGCATTAAAAACAAGCTAGTTTACAGTCTTCTTTGGGCTTGAGTTTGGTTTTTGTTTGTTTGTTGTTGTTTTTTAATAAGAGCAGGACTAGAAGACAATGATGATAAACTATCAGTCTGATGAACAAAAAGTCAGAGACAAAAACAGGACAGAAAAGATGAGAGAATCCAGGCAGACCAACATCCACTTAATCAAACCTTCTAGAAAAAGCAAGTACAGAAGAAAGGAAACTCAAAGTTCTCAGAGCAAAGACACAGGCTTCACGCATATATTTCTAGGTTGAAGGGGTCCAGTGAGCACTGAATTAAAGAACAATAAGACAAAACTAACAATAAAAAACAAAGGCAATTTGAAACAGTGACACCTGTGCCACATTGAATGAAGTATATAATTTCTGAACACTGAGAATAAAAAGAAATTCTCACAATATGTCATACAGGTAGGTAAGCCCATTGCACAATTCTTGGAACATTACTGTAGTTTGACTTTTTTTCTTTTCCAAAATAAAGATTAAAAAAAAAAATAAAGCAGTTCCTCATAAACACTAGATTATTCTATATCTCAGCAATTCCATGCAAAGAAATACCTTAAAAATTGACAACAAGAACTCAAAGAGATGCTTGTGCACAATATCCATGCATGTGGTATGATTCACAATAGCCCAAAGCTGGAAACAACCCATGTGTTCATTAACAAATGAAAGATAAAGAAAATGGGGCCTTTCTATACGATGGCATATTATTCAGTCATAAAAAGGAATAGGCTACATCTGGAAAACATTGTAAGGGAATAATATGAATAACTGAAGTAAGCCAGATATGAAAGGTCACATACTGGATGCTTCTATTTCATGTTGTGGAGCTGAAGTGACTGTGACCACCCAGCTGGTGTTCAGAGGCTATAAAGTACATGTGAAGAGACTGTCCATCAGCTGGTGGATTCGAACTGTCCAGCTTTGGGTCAGCAGTACGACACTCACCCACGAAGCCACCACACTCCGGTGCTTCACAGAGGCAGAAAATAGGTCAGAGACTAAGAGGAGGAAGAAGGAAGTTAGTGTGCCAAGCTTCTATTTGGGATGATGACAATTCTAAAAATCAAGGCAATGGTGGCACAATATTGTGACTGTAATTAATGCCACCAGTGTTTACTTAAAAATGGTTGCTGTGTACCGTAGAGTTGGAACCAACCCATAGCTGACCCTTTAAGTGGGTTTTCAGAGTCAGTTACTCAATGGAGAAGGGACTGCCCATCCTTCTCCCATGGAGCAGCTGGTAGCCTCGAACCACAAGCCTTCCAGATTGTAGCTCAGCTTCTTGTCACTGTATGTTATATATATTTTAGTCACAACAAACAGAATAAAACAGTGAAACAAATTAAATTTCTGCCACCATAAAAATGTAAAATCACAATGATAAGAAATAGAGCAATGAAAATGATAAGTACATTTTTAAAAGGGAAAATTTGGAAGGCAACTGGTTTGCAAATTTCTTATAAATAAAATCATAGTCTTGAAAATTTTAAGGAAAGGAAAAAATATAACGTCAACTAGAATTGTTATGCTCTGCCAAATTATTAATAAAATATAAGAGTAAGGAAAGATGTTTCCAGATAAGCCAAGTCCTCCAAAATGTGTATAGAATTTTTTTTTTCCAGGAACCTACTGAAAAATGTATGTTAGCAAAATGAAGAGCTCAACCACAAAAGCTGGATTTGAGATTAGGGAAAAAAGGACCAGCACAGAAGAAAAAGAAAATTCCCAAGATGGCAGCAAAGAGAAAAGTCCTGGACAACAGCTGCAGGAGGCCTGGCCAATCAAGTGAAACTGAAGCCAGAAGATGGAACATTCCAGAAGCAACGGTCTTAAAAATCCCCACCAAAACAAAACAACAACCCTCTCCCTGCTCCTCTCCCCCCAAAAAAACAGCATCTTAAAAACTGGCAATTTTGCTTGATAATACAGGCTGGCATTTTAAGGTTTCATTTGTAAGTTTGGGAAAGTGTTATGATAGGACATAGAAAACAAGCAAACAAACAAAATGAGATAATAGCTTACAGAAAAGCAAAGAACTGTTCAAGGAAAGAGACATAATCATAGTGTGTTATTTGCCCTGTGAGCAATGTTTATGCAGAGATAATTTGTTAGAACAAATTCTCTTCTAACCAACACATAATTACAGAGGGGAGGGAGAGATAGGAAAAGTGGGGCTGGAGGTTGAGAAGTAAAAATTCTAAATTCTTATTTTCCAGAATAGAAGATCAACCAAGCATCTTACAAATACAGAAAATTAAAATTAGCAGTATTAGCACATTAAGAAACAGACCACTCATAAAAGGATAGGAAATATAGGACCTCACTTATATAAAAAGAAACAGTGTTACCAGAAGCGGAAGGGAGGTAGAAGGAAGACAGGGATTAACAGTGATGGAAGAATCACATTAAGGGTAGAACTACCCAGCTGACTATTTTAATTGTTGTCCATAAACTGTATACCTGTAAAAAGTTGAATCTGCGAAGGTGTGATGGATATATTTACAACATCCCAGTTAATCAGCCTAATAATGTGCTTAAATGTCTCTTTTCTAGCTCCAAGTTGGTTAAAAGCTTACAAGTGGTCATCCAAGGCATAGCAATTGGTCTCCATTGCCTGGGGTAAGGGACAAAGGAAAGTTGGGAATAGAAGGAAATGGAATGTGTGGCTAATTGCCCCAAGAACAGCTGCCTCCTTTGCGAGGAGACCAGAAGAACTGGATGATGCCAGGTTACCAATACTAAACACTGTGATGAAAGATACCATAGAAGAATACTGATCAAGGGAAGAGAAATGCAGGTCAGAATCACAAATTCTCAAAGAATCTTCTTCAGAGCCAGAAGGTAGATGAAGCCCTGAAACTATCTCTGAGATAATTTGTAAAAGTAAATATTATAAACCAAAATGTCCCCGGAGGTCGCTTTAAAACTAAACAAGAAAAAAACAAAACATCAAAACCAAAATGAACAAGTGCTTAGCTTTGTTGTTGTTAGGTGGTCAAGTATGACCTATAGCGACCCTATGAACAACACACCTGAACCCTGTCCTATCCTGGGCCATCTTCATACTCCCCGACACAACTGAGCTCATTACAGCAGTCACCTTGTTAATCCACCTGCTCTTCCTCTCCTCCAATGACCCTTTCTGAGCATCATGTCCCTCTCCTTCAAACAAGTCCAACATATGTGAGGAAAAGCCTCATCACCTTTTCCTCCAAAGAGCACTCTGGCTGCAGCCTCTCCAAGACGTATTTGTTGCTCTCTTGGCCGTCCCTGGGATGTTCAGTGCTCTTCTCCAACACCACAGCCCACAGGCATAAATTCTTTTTCTGTCATCCTTATTCATTGTCCAGCTCTCAGATGCACAGCAAGTGAACAGCAAGACCGTGGCCTGAATGAACACACCTTAGTCCTCAAACTGACACCATTAATCCTCAATAATTTGGAAAAGTCCCTAACTGTAGACTTTCCCAGTGCAATATGTCTCCTGATTTCCTGACTCTCAGTACCAAGGGTGTTAATTGTGGATCCATGTAAGATGAAGTTGTTGACCGTTTCAATCTTTTCTCCATCCATCATGATGTTGCTGCCTATCAGTCCAGTAGTAAGAATCTTTGTTTTCTTGGCATTGAGGTATCAAAAGGGTTACCCATGATGGACAGGTTTTAGTAGAGCTCCCAGATTAAGACAGACTAGGAAGCAGGATTGGTTATCTTCTTAAGTAACAGGCCTCTGAAAACCCTATAAACAGTAGAGGAACAAGGATAGTTACAGTAATAGTGGTAGAGCCCAGATTGGAAGTTAGACAAAATGAGGAAAAACAAAGGCAAAC